TAAGGGTTTTCATTTTTTTATAAAGAAATTTTTGCAAATGACAGTTTCTCCTGTCCTTTTTTTCATTGCTTATGTGGGAAAACTAGCACATTTGTTTAAGGATAAACTGGGAAGTCTGTGGTTTCCAGCATGCACATTTTGAATAATATTTATACAGACTATTATTTAATGGGCCATATAAATATTTATCATATGCTGTAGCCCTTTGATCATAAATGCTTGTTTGAAAAGCCATTCTGTCCCTGCTGTGATTTGCAGAGACCTTTGCTGTTTTAGTGCTTGGAGAGAATTTTGGCTTCTTGTCCTGTATTAGTAGTTATAGTCCTGGACTAACACAGTCAAGCTGGAATTGTCTTTTTAAAATGATTTTTTTTCCCCTCTCTCTCCCTTTCTTTCTGTTTTCAAATTAAAATAAGAAGTAAATGTGAGGCCCTTATTCTGCAATGAACAGGCAGAGTTGCTTTGAAGCTTTGGAAGCCTTTTTCTTGCCTTCAAGAAGCCAGGCTTCCTGAGGTAGATATACTTCAGGGATGTAGAAGGTATTATCACCACTGCTCTTCACCACGGGAAATCCATAAATATGCATCAAACATTTTGGTGTCTTAGGAATATCGTGTGCAAGGAATTGACTTGTCTGACTGGACCTTTAGGGCTTTTTATTTTAGTTGTTTTCCTGGTTCACTGTTTTCCTCATGATTGTATTGACTGCAGAAGCTGTATGCTAAGAACCCAGTAGATACAAAATCCAGACCAAAGTTTTCTTTCGTGCATGGCAATGAAAGTTGGTGTCCAGATTCCAAAGCAAGAAGTTTGTGCTGGGATCTTCTACTATCTCTGAACTCCATTAAAGAGTTTCTTCATTTCTGATTTGGAGCTTCCTCTTGTACCAAAGGAATCTCCTGTAAACAAAACTGAATGGTAACATTTCTCTTTAAATTCTTATTAAAGTACTTTGGGTAAAGATTTTTGACCAACCTCACTGCTGAGTTCTCAGGTACTGGAAAGATACCTGTGGACAGAGTCCCTAATTGGTAATACTTACAACCTAAAGACAGTACTTTTAGTGGATCTGGTTGACAAGTAGGTGGCATGCCAAGTGATTGGTATTCCAGAAGAAACCTTGGCATCAAATCGTGGTTTTGTCAGCAGATGAGATCGTATTGCAGAGACGTTGTACTTTGAACAGCCTCAGTAACTAAGTGCTTGAAAAAAGGGATTAATGTTTACTCTGAACCCTTCTTGGTAAGATATCGAACTACTGTTTTGTAAATCTAGGTGAGCTTTACTCAGAGAAAGACCAGTTAAAATAGTTTGGACTTTGTCACTTAACTCTTTCTTATGTGCACTGATTTACAGAATTAAACTAGTGGCTCCACATAAACTGATCTGTGCTGCTTGAGCATAGAAACAAACTCTGCTTCCTGCCCAGTCACTCGCACATGCACATCCTGGTTGCTTAGTAAGGAAAAAAGGAAAGTAAACATTACATGGGCTTATTGGGTTCCAGGTTTCAAATGTTTGTGGGAAGAATCCAATGCAAAGCCATAATTTTAAGTGCTGAGTAGGAGGTACTATGAGCTTAATGCTCTAACATCTGTTAAGCTTATTCTCCAAGTGGCAAAAACACATTAATGAGCTAAAATCAAGGCTGCCATACAAGGAAGAGAAATAAAAATTTAGAGTAACATTGTATATGTGAGAAGGAGGCAGGATGTAAAACACTCCTTTTTCTAGTTGTATTTTGTGAAAAGCAAGTAAGAAAGATTTGCCTATGTTAAAAAAAAATGATCTGCTTTGCAGCTTGTGGTTTATTCTCATCTTTTATGAGTCAGCAGCTAAAGGCAGTGCCGAAATAGGGGAAAAACAGGGAAATTCGTGAGACAGTATCAGGAATAGTCTTAGGCAATTTCTTCATAGTACAGTTTCTTGCAAGTAGCCAGCAGCATCTGCAGCCAGCCTCTTAAGCTGTGAGGAGAATTAAAAAGTGATCATCATCTGTTGAAAAGAATGTCTTAAAACTGCTTTTACAGCCAAGGGCTAAAAGAAAGATGCAGAGTGCTGTAAGTATCCCCAGCTGACAGATGCAGTATTAATCACTGATATCAGGAGAATTGTCCTCTCTCTGTCAGAGGCATTAGCTTTTGTTAATCTGACCAGGTCATAGAGCCAGGGCCAAGAAAATAAAGCCAACTTTCTTGCCAGTATTCCTGGGTGTTAGGCTCATGGCACACCATTATTTTTAGCTGATTGCTCATTGCTTGAACAGATGACCTTGCTTAACAAGATTAGTGTGTGTTGCACCTAAGCTACTGGGGAGAATCAGTGTGCTGAAAGAGAGTAGCTAGTGTTGCCATCAGTGCTGCAGTATGTTCTATAGCTTTGATTTCTGTCTTGTTTCTGATGTTGTTAGAAGTTAACGCTCTGTACAACTTCCTCTAGTGTCCCTGCCATGGTGCAGAATGTGGTGTGGTACCTGCTTTGGTTTGTACCAGGTTGCTCAGGAGCTTTAGTGATGGAGAGGACTCCTTCATGCTGATGCTGTCTAAGCAGAGAAGTTAAAATTTGTCCCTGGCCCCCAGCAGTGGTGTCTAGGCATGGAATGGTAGATTCAGGCAGTACAAAGTGATTGTATGGGACAGGTTGTGGCAGCATCTCCACAGACTAACCACATTTCTATGAACCATTTAAGGGGTAGGATGAGGGAAAGCTGGGCAGGTTTCTTTAGCCAAAGTGTTGGCTTATGCTGTTTTAAATTAAACTTTGTTGTAATTCAGCTATTGCCTAGCTTAGTTATTATCTGGAATGATGCTTGGAGTTTTCTGAGGTAAGGGTCTCCCTTTCTTTAATTCTTTATTTCACCTGCTACCTCTAAATCTCAGTGATTATAAATTTGTAAAAGCCATCCATAGTGGTGGTTACAAGCCAACTGTAGATGTGAACAGCCACTTATATTGTGCCAATACTATGTTCAGGGCCAGAAAAGGGCAACAGAGCTGATGTACAAGTGTGATGAGGAATGACTGAGAAGTTTAGTCAGGAAAGGAAAAGGCTCAGGGGGGACCTTATTGCTTTCCACAGCTGCCTGACAGGAGTTGTAGTGAGGTGGGGGTCAGTCTCTTCCAAGTAACAAACGGCAGGACAAGAGGAAACAGCCTCAAGCTGCCCCAGGGGAGGTTTACACTGGAGATTAGGAAATATTTCTTCTCCAAAAGGGTGGTCAGGCATTGGAGCAGTCTGCCCAGGGCACTGGTAGAATTACTATCCCTGGAATTGGTAAAAAAGCATGTGGAGGCCCTTAGTGACATAGCTTACTGGTGGACTTGGCAGTCCTGGGGTAAAGTTGGAAAAGACCTTTAAGATCATCAAGTCCAACCTGGTTGATTCTGTGATTCAAAGTGATACCCAAGGATAGATGTTGACCTGCACTCAAGATGTTTTGGTAGTGGGGAAAGAAAGGTTTGGTTTTCTGCCTTGTAGAAATAAAACAAGTAAAAAACATTGCTTCCAAAGTTGAGTACAATTTATGTGCCTCTATGATCAGTATTGTCTGAAGGGAGAGGACTTTCACCAATTTCTGCTCCACTGCTGTTTCTATCAGGCTTTTGGTATATTTGCTGCTAAATTCTAGTTATTAAAAATAACCCCAGGATTAATTTGAAATGTGGGTAATCGTATTACTAAGCAGTGCTTCCCAAATCTTTCCCCCTTTGCCTATAGCCCTCCCAACCCATCTTTCATATACAGAAGTAATGCAGGTCATTTCTTTGGGAGAGGTGGGCTGTTTTTAGGTAGAGCCATGTTGATGCTGTGTAAATACTGGGTATTCATCACATCATAATTGATCCATCCATTTTCTGGAAAACAGAAGCTATGTCTCAGCTGAGTTTTGTGTGTTTCAGAGGCTTAACGATTCACATGAACACTAACCTTGGTACTTGTCTGATGTTTCAAATACTTTGTATAAGCTCTTCCTTAGTATCATCCCAGCTTGACTAAAATGTAGATGTTAACTATTAATTAGGGACAAACTGTGAGAAATTGAGTACAGTGCATTTGTTGCTGTATTAAATGTCAGATAGTTAACCGTAATATAGTGAAATCAGCGACTCAGTGTGAATAATTAACCTCACTCTGTTCTTGTAGGTTGCCAGAGACACTTTTTCAGCAAATAGTTTTCTGAATCTTCACAATGGTGTGGATTGATGCTGGATAGCTTTTAAAAACTGAACCAGTTTTTTCTTCATGTGGTTCCTCCCTCCCCCAAATTGGGTAAGGTGTACCAGATGCCACATAAAATTATCAGCATCAGGCCACTTTTTGGGGGAGGCAAACTGTTCAGGTTCTGCAGACATTCAGCCTGACTTGCTGGCTCATTCAGCAGGAATATGCCACTCAGAAGCTGGTTGGCTGCACGGGAGGCAGCAGCTCTTGGCTTGTCCTTCCTTTTCAGGTGAGGGTTCAGCTGAGCCCATCGCACCGCCCCTTTCACTGCTTTCAGGAGTGTAATTTGTTTGCACTGAGGCAACGACATACCTGTGGTGATTTTTGTTGTCCTTTCTAGAGGTGAATTCAACTTAGCAGGCATCTGATGCTGGAAATCCCAGGAGTTTCTGGGTTGAAATATCCCTTCTGTGTAAAGCACCAGCTCCTGATTTCTGCTGAGTTTGAAACTGTACCTTTCCCTTCCTATCTCCTTCTCTCTTTTCCCCTTTATGTAGACATGATACTGTATGACCACAGCTCATTTCCTTGATTGCATTCATGCACATTTACAATTTGCTTTTCAGGAGCTTCTGTGCCATGTAACTTACACACAGACATTTGAATAAAAAAGGTACAAGTAGTGCAAAACTTGAGCACTCAAAGCAATTAAATGCCAAGTGAAGACTTACTGAAAAAAATAAGCGAACTGCCTCTGCAGCATCTCATCCTGTTGTGTACAGTTTTCCATCATCAGTCATTTTATCTGTTTTTAACACCTTTTTTATTTCTCCTGACAGGTTGTATTAAAAATGCACGGTAAGAAACAGACTCCAGAAAAATACTATGTTGGAATTGACGTTGGCTCAGCAAGTGTTCGCGCAGCATTGGTCGATGGGCTTGGGACAGTGGTGGCACATGCAGAGCAGCCAATCCAAATTTGGGAGCCCCAACCAGACCACTATGAGCAATCCTCTGCGGACATATGGGCTGCTTGCTGCTCAGTCACAAAGGTACGTGAAGAAAAAGAAAATGAAGGAGATATGTTGCAGGTAGATCCTCAAATTTGGAAAGTTTAAGGTCTTCTAATCACTAGCATTTAATATTCAGTTTTGTGCTTGCTGTATTACTGTATAACTTGTAACCATCCTTGTGCATTAAAGCTATCTTGAGGATATGGCTGATATAGTCTCAGTGAATGTGATACAGGTGAGGAACTTGAGGCCAGAGTAAAACAAGCTTGTGCTACAACTGAAAATGGAATGAAAGGCTTTCCTTTTCACTGTTAGTTCAGGTGAAGTACTTGCCCACTGCCCGCAAGAGTCACATCTGTGGGTTTTGTTTCTGTCATGTACGTTATATCCACAAGACAGTTCTTTGAGGAGCAGAAGTTGCTCAGAACCTGGTTATGCATATATTTAAAGATGTGCATTGTGCTCCATTGGAGTCACAAAGCAGTATTTATTGTAGAGAAATTGTAATCCGGTTTGTAAATGGTGCCTACCATTAACATCTCTTACCTGTGATCCTCATTATAAGAGGATCCAGTATTATAAGACCAAAATAAATTTTATATGTTTGTGGATAGTCTCAAACATAACCATGAATTGAAATAAACCTTAGTAAAAGGGAAAATTTGTACCTCTTTGTACCCTCTGATCCAAAGAGCTGCCTGTATGTGCTGGTGGTAAAAGTAAATGAGTGACCTTGTGTGGCAATGCTCATATAGACCATTTCATCTTTCTTAATAAAGCCCTGGCCTGCTCCATGTTCTAAGGTTGGCTTTTTAAATATTCATGATGTGCTTGGTAATTTGCAGGTGGACAGTTCACCCATTCCCTTGTTATTGATCAGCCTTTTCAAACATTCATGAGCTTGGCTCTGCAGAAATGCCCTGAGATGAAGGAGTTGAGGTGAGGGGGTAGGAAGAAGTGAGTGACAGGGAAGAACACCTTGATGTTAAAGCAGAGAGAGTCTTTTATTCTACTTACTTGATTTTTCTCCTTGTGAATTGCTTTATTCTTGCTCTGAACCTGTTTAAATACGATCTCTTGTATGTAAGCAATAAAATACAGGCTTTGGAACTATACTGTTACAGAGCCAGTAAGAGACTGGCACTGTAGTGAAAGTCGTTCGTTATAGTATTAATTAAAATAATGATATTTTTATTGTTGCTGAGAAGTGACAATTTATTATAGTGTTACATTTTAGGTGTCTTGCAACCTCATTTGGCACTTAATCCATGTGGGTGTTGTGTTTCTTTTTCCAGTGCTGCTGGAAGCCATGAAGTTCAGCCTCTTTGGGGCAGTGAGTTTTTTGTTTGTTTTGGAAAATCTTCCCAAAAGTATGCTATCCAAACTCTTGGTAACAGAGCCTTTGGAAAGGTGTGCCTTACAGAAGTATTATCACTGCTACAGCTTTTGATCAACTTTAGTTTTGGGTCCCTTTGCTATTGCAAGACAAAAAGCTGTGGCACAATATTAAAAAGCAATTCTGCAAAGCTTTCATAAGTGGGAACTGAGTGAGGTAACTGATGGGAATGCTTGACCCTGATCCTGTGCCCATGCTTCACTTGGAGCTGAACTCCAAGCTTTTAAAAGAGCAAGAAAATTCACATTGCTGGTTTTCTGCTAGCTTTATTTTCTGAAGCTTCCTGCTTTTGTGCAGGACTGTGGCTAGTAAAATTAAAAAGCTGTTAAAGAACTTCATGGACCTTTGAATTTAGTTTTGAAAACCAAAGAGTTTTGGTAATTTGGTGTATTTTTGATTGGAGGTGTTAAAGAATACTGAATCTCAGAACTTTTAGAGTTTGATCTTATAATTTGTAACTCATTTTCTGTACTCATCAGTTCACACAGCACCTGCATATATATGGATAATGTTTGTATTCGTGTATGTTTTGTATATTTACAGAAAGTTGTCTCTGGAGTAGATGCTAGCCACATTCGAGGGGTTGGGTTTGATGCTACATGTTCCCTTGTTGTTGTGGATAAACAATTCCAACCTTTGGCAGTCAACTGTGAAGGTAGGACTCCAGCACAAAAGCTGGTGTTACTGTGCATGACTGACCACTGATGTGAGCAAACAATTTCATCCAAATGCCAAGTTACAGGGCTAACTATTGGAGATATAGATGGCAGGAAATCCTTTTTGTGAGAGTTTTACTGTTTTAATTCTAGTGCAAAATTAGATCTGAGATGAGAATTGCTTAGTCTGGCTAAATGTTCAGCATCCTAAGATCCAATTCATTCATCTTGGCTCAAAGAGACTGCTTCTTAGAGAAGTCTATGCTCGTTTTTCTTTCCTGCATGTTTTCTCCTCCTTCAGACTTCACTAATCACAGCTTTTATAAATGCCCATTCACACTGGCTAAAGGATTGCTGAAAATGTTCATGTGAGTATAGTCTAACAGATTACTCTGTTATGGGGTGGCAGGCAAGAGATTCAGTTTGTGTATCTTACTACCCTGGTGTTCTGTCTTTGGGACAGTGCTAAACTTCAGAAAGTCTGTGATGTTCCTCTAAAAATTGTAATTTCTTAATTAGTATTTGAGAAGATGATTCATAAGACAAAAAGTCTGTGATGATTTTTTCACTGGATCCCATTTAAGATGAGGTGTGTGCTAACTCAGTAGTTACAGGGCCATAATCACAATTCTGTGTATGTTCCCTGTCTGTTCTCAGTTGTATTTGTCATCTCCTCCTACCCTTCGCAAAGCCCCAGCTTTGCCCCCCAAAATGTCCTTTGCTAAATTTAGATGGGAGTATTTGTTTTTCAGTTTGAGAGTCTCTTACATTCTGTTCAATGCCTAATGATGTCTGGGGCTATTTTGGGCTAATGAGTCAAATTCAGTTCTCATTTTTTGTTCTCTGATATCCTTAAGAACTTTGAGTTTACGTAGTGGTGGTGTTAAATAAAAAGACAAGAACACACTGAATACTGTCACACTGGTATGGACATGGTGTGGTTGTCTCACAGTTCTAAGTTGTGTTTCAGACCATGTAAGTGGTGTGTCATACCTCTACCTTGTCTTAGAGTATGTTTTCAAGATTCAATTTAGCATGAGAGGAATCTCAAGTGTCATCTGGATTACTAGTCCACCTGTCTAGCAGGTCCTCTGTAGGTTAACTTTGATAAGACGTTCTCCTTGTTCTCATGTATTCTGCAGACTTGCCAAATGCTTTTTCATTCCACATCCAAAATAAAGGCATTGCAGCAAATTACCCTCCTGAAAGGAATTAGGGTAGTTCTTCTCATAACACTTGAAGAGGGAAGAGAATCCATGTAACCAGCTCACTAGCTGACTAGCTGAGTTAACTTCAGATTATAATGTTGTGTTTAGTTCTTAGTCACTAAATTCCTTCTTTATATTTTTAACTCAATATATGTACTTTGTCAAGAAGATTGGGTTCTTTGAATGAAATGCAGTCTACAAGAGCATGGTGTTGCAAAGTCCTTGGATGTTCACAGCCTGATTGGTTTCAGTCAGCATTGTCAGTGCTCAGCATGTCTTAAAGTTGGCTCAGAGAGCTAGCTAGTCTTTCAATATCTACTGTGGTTTATTGCACAGATTTACAGTTTTATAAAGTGAAAGTGTGAAGCAGCTGAGTCTAGTAACTTACAGTACTGAGGTGGGGTTAAACCAAACCTAAAATAATCCCTTATTTTTGTCTTCTCCCCCAAGGTCAAAACCATAGGAATGTCATAATGTGGATGGACCATCGTGCAGTCAGTCAAGTTGAGCGCATCAATGCAACGCAACACAGGGTTTTGAGCTATGTAGGGGGAGTGATGTCTGTGGAAATGCAGCCACCTAAATTGCTGTGGATGAAGGAGGTGAGTACATATGAAACTGTGCTGTGTTTTGACTAATGATTAATGCCCTTTGTTTGTTAATTTGAGAACAAAATTTCTAAAACAAAAGTCTTCAGCCTTAGTATTGAGCCCGAAGGCTTGCAAAGTAAGGTCAGCCATAAGTTGGGCTGAAAATGTTTGAAGGTTCATTGTTTCCTCTCACTTACTTAGTAATATCTTTGATTTTATTGAAATTCAGAGTTTCCTGATAGAAATATTTCATATGCCTTTCTTATCTAATTTTAAGGTTAGATACACATACAAATTTAACTGCAGGTTATGAATGAGTCCTTGAAGTACCCTAGGACATAGTTATGGAGGTGTGTTTCCTGCTCTGTAGCTGGGCATGCTTACAGGTGTGTAGGTGCTACTTCTGGAGCAGATTTATAGCAATTTGAAAACAGCTTCATCTAAGCACTAGGCATCCTGGCCAGAGGGACTGCCTTTGGGGCACTGCATCCAGCAGTGAGGGGGTGTGTGATGTCTTTGGCTGCTGGTAGAGAAATTGTTCAGGTAGATCTTCAGTTTAGTTCTGTCCCATCCGTAGGAAGCAGAGCGCCTGTAAAGGGAAGGTGCTCTGTTCATAATGTGGAACTCTACCTCTGTTTCTTGTGTTTAAATTTCATGTGTTATAGGATGACATACAGCCTTTTAATAATAGCTGTCAGATAAAAGGAGAAATGCTTGCCACTTGAATTTTTTATAGCCTCCTCCAGTCTGGCTTTTACATTTGATCTCAATGACACTTGCTGTCATTTTAACAAAGCCCAAATGTAAATTACTTGCTGCCAGTTTCAAGCAGGCAAAGTCTCCTGTACTTACAAAGATGAAACATCGTATGATAGCACGGTGTATATTGGGGAAAGTTGAAGGAATTAACTGGTAGAAGCAGGTACTGACATATTAATGATAATAGGGGGTAATTAATGTTTGTGGATGCTATACTGAAATAGGAATATCCATCTACCAGTTCTTTCCCTCTTGAGCCATGAGTATCATATGTCAGTCATTTTACAAATATTAAAAAGTAAGCTGTAAAAACCTTAAATGAATCCATTGTGTTCAAAACGTACTTATATTTCAGTCAGGTCTGCAATATCAGTACCTGACTGATGAGGAAGGGCCAGATTATGGGTTCTTCTAAATGCACAGACTTACGTAGCACAGATTTACCAGAAGTGTAAGCCTGTGCTATGGCCTCAAAGCCCTCTGACATAATTGCTGTAGTACAAAGAGGGAGAGCAACTATTATTGCAGGGCTTGTTCCCTCCATGGGCAAATGGGTAGGAGATACAATTCACCTTAGCCTACATGCCAGCCAGTAGCAGAGATTGCCTGGCAAAGGGCATTACAGGGCTTGTTCATGTGTCCCTTTTCAGCTCCTGACGTATCAGCTAAAGAGATTATTATCTTTAAGAGAGGGTTTTTTTACCTCAGTATCTGCTGAGCTGCTCACGCGACAGTTCCTGCATTCTGAGTGGACTAGCAAAGACATACTCTTAAACTGCTTAAGCTTACACTGCTTAACTCACTAGCACCTCAGTGAGCTCATGAGAAGGAACAGTAACATTTATTATGGCAGTGGTTGTAATCAGTTGAGATGTGGACGTGTAGTGCTATTCCTTCTAGCTTTGGAGAGAGATGTGACTGAGTGCTTACTGCTTCTATACTGGTTGCAAAGTAGGAGGAGGGTGAAAGGAATTGTACGAAGAGCAATGGTTTATTTTCAGTGCTAATCACAATAACGTGACAATGTATTACATGATTTAGGGCTAGCAGCAAAGGTTCATGTTAGCATCCAACAGCTGAAATTCAGCCTCATATAATGCAAGTGTTCTCACTTTTTGCCAAGGAGGGTGAATTTTACAATGACTTTGAATGTCAGGTTATATCCTTTTTAACTGAGAATATCTGAAGTCTTTGCAAAGTTGGAAGTGAAATTCCCATTCTGCTTCTGTTGTGACAACTAAAAATAACTGTGCTCACTGTACCTGGTTTGCAGAGTGTTGAATCAGTTGGCTAGATGAGAACTTCATGACATAAAATTAGACTCTTTGAAAATGTGGCCCCCAGTGTTGCTGAGGAGAAGGCCAAAATGGGATTGTTATGAGCACTGAATGTTAGGGCTGAGATGTGTTGACAGGGCTGCCTGGGGAAGTTCTACACAGTGTCTGCCTACACTGTGTGCCTGGCTGTGATTGTGGCCTTCAGTCTCTCCAGCTTTCCTGACTGCTAAATGTCACCAAATATGCTACCAGCAAGGCTTCTTTGAAGTGTCATAGATCTGAGTAGTTTGTCTTAAATCCTCACCTCTGCTTTTATTTTCTATACCATATGTGAAATAACCTTTCCTACCAAGCTACTGCTTGCTCCAGTGAGCAGTGCAGCCTCTTTCAAAGGAGCCGCTTTCAAATAAGATCCCTTTCAAAGCATCCCAAAGTCTGTTGCTGTACTGTAAAACTCTCTCCAGGAATTTGCTGCCAACCTCTGCAAATATGTAGTTAGTTTAGTTGGTTGTTTTTTCCTGAAAACACTCCCAGGATTTCTAGAACTGTTTCCAGCCAGCTGACTGCAAGAGGTGCAGCCTGCTGCTTGATACAGGAACGGTAGTGGGTTAGAGCAGAAATCCATTTGACTCATTATTTGTCTGATTAGTAATGAGGTTTAGGCTCTATAAGTTTAGCTAATCTTTCCTAAACCCACATGCACTTTGTGAAGCTGCTGTGTCCTGTGGTAGTGAGTTCCACTGTGTTACTGTACTTGGTGTGAACAGGTACCTTTTTTTTTTTCTGAAACGAGTTCCTAAAATCTCATTTACTTTTTAGTTCATAGAATCCTGGAATGGTTTGGGTTGGAAGAGATCTCAGAGATCATCTTGTTCTAATCCCCCTACCATGGCAGGAACACCTTTGAGACTGAACTATATCATTCCCCAGTGAACGTCTCCATGCCATGGACCATATGAGATGTTTATTTTCCTTCCTTATTAAGTTTCTTAACATGCCTTCCTAATGCTGTCATACACCTGACAGTATCCCAGGAATTTAAGCAAACAACGGATAGGGCACATTCTTCTATGACTAGCCATAACCAAAACTGGCAAAACAAAGGTATCTTCAGAAGCTATTTTGCACCTTTCTCTCTTTGGTGGACATCACATTTCTGGGAAGTTTTTGACCAGGAAGCTTGACATGGCTCTATCACATGGATGTTTATAAGTGAAACAAACCCCATAACCATGCACTTTGTAGTCATACTCCAGGTCAGTGGGTACACCCTAGTACATAAAGGTTCGCTCTTGAATTTTTTCTTTGAATTCCCTGGAATGATTTTTGAACTCCCTAGGAATTTTTGCTGCTACTAAATGTTTTTGCTGTTTTCCCCCTGTACGTCTTTGCCTGGGATTGGTGCTGTGCACATTTCATAACTGCTGGCATTGATCTACATTTTGCAGAGAGGGTGTAGTGGGGAAAATAACTACTTTATATCTGAAGTTATGATAAAATAGCCTGGTCCTAATCATGAAGAACAATTCATAACTCCATTGAAGTAACCAGCAGAGTTCACTTTTGTGTTATTGGGAAAATGTTGGATACTTTTCTTTTGATCAAACTTCATGTATTTGTAACAATAAACAGCATTTGGAAGGAACTAAATAAATTGTCCTAATGAGATATGTTCCTTTCAGTGGATCCTTAGTTCTCTGGAACTCTTAACGTTGTTTTCTTGAGCTTCAAAGTTTATTTAGGCTGGCATAAATAAAAATGTTTCTTATAGAGTTTATTGCCTAACTGATAAATTTTCAGGATTTCCCTTGACTTCTCCATGTTCCGAGACTTCTGAGTCGTATGACACTGCAGCCATGCTGATTCAAGAGAAGTTGCAGAAATGAGACCATAAACTCAATTAGTTTGTTAAGAATCATTTAAGAGATTAGGAGTCAAGCTAGATACACTTTTGGAAATAAATTATTTAAGGTATTGATACTAAATGATTCTTTGGAATGTTGTTACACCCATAGGTTGATTGTGCGTACATTGTCAGCAAAACCTCCCCCTTCCTCGCCAAGATGCTAACCTGACTCTGGGAGGCCACATTAGGAGATCCTGTCTTCTTGCTCTTTGCCCTGAGCTCTCCTAGCTGTAGTATCTAAAAACTTGAGCTCTTGAGGCAGGGTCTGACATAGGTCAGTCCAGCAGGATTGCTAAGCTTGAGTGACTGGGCTGTCTCAACAAAGGAAGGAGTTGAATTTCTGTTACTTGAAGAGTTTTCACCTAAGCAATTAAAAATATTGGTGAGGAATATGACTTTGCAAATTTACTCTGAATTGGTTGGAAGTGAGGAAGGAGAAGAGGACTTAGATGACCTAACTGTGCTTTTCCATTTCCATCATGTTGTTCCTAGAACTGATGTTAAAGATGACATCGCTCACTGTGAGGAATGAGCTGACATCATTGTATAAGAAGTAGATACTGGTCCTTATCTCTTATGGCTTTCTTGTAACACTTGACTTGTATTTATGTGCAGAGGGATGTTGCAGTTTTTCTTCAAAGTCACAAGTTACTCTCATCTGCTGCTTTGTGAACTTGTTTTTCCATATAATACTTTCTCTTTAACATTCCCACTTACACAGATAGAGATTTAACTAGAGACTAGAGGCTTTGGGGTGTATTCTGTTCTTCCAACACTTCATCCCTATTCCATTTTGGCTTTGAATTAAGAAACTAAACTATAAAGGCCATAATAGGCCTTTTGAGATCTTTTATTTGAACTATATTAGCTTATATTCAGCTGAGTTTGATTGCTGCTGAATCATTTTTGCCCTCTGGCACCTGGTGGTTAGTCTACATGAACTTAATTGGGTGGTCTTGATGTTTGTTATTTCAGATAGGTGTTCATATGACAAAGCCATCACTGCAAGTGGAGTTTGTGAGCTAGGGACAGCTGTTTGCCGTAAATGATCAGCTGAATGCAGCTACTGT